CCAAGGTGGGGGAACCTCGTCGACGTAGGTGCCTGTGGACTTCCAGGAAGCCATCTCTGCGTCCATGGCTGTCTGCCACTGAGAGGAGTAGAGACCCTCCATCGCCTCTGCGTAAGAGCGTGGGGTCGGGATGTCTGGTGCATCCGGGTCTCCCTCAGGGGCAATCACCATGGACACGAGATGAGGTAAAGCAGCGGCAAAGCACTCAAACTCCTCCTGTCTGTTCTCAAGGACGTCCGTGCCAAGAGCACACTCACCCCCGACGGACGGAGGACAGACAGACTCAGACTCAGCAACAAGGCTAGCGGCGTAGTCTAGACGACAGGCGGCAGCAAAGTCAACAAGCTCAGCAACTAGAGCAGACGCAGCAGTGGACTCAAAGGAAGGGTCAGCAGACGGCAGAGGGACACGCTGTGGAGCAGTGGAAGGACGCAGAGTCATATAGTGAGTGCTAAGTACAGGAGGAGGACGCTGACGCGGAGCACGACGACCAGCGCGGACAGCGCGGACAGACGACTCTGGACGAGACTCAGGCGACTCAGGACGAGACTCAGGCGACGCAGGACGAGACTCAGGCTCACGACGCTCCGTAAGACCTCTAGTCGGCCCAGCGTAAGGAGAAGGACCAGGCAGCGGAGAGGCAAGTGGTAACTGTGACTGCGACTGGACAGGTGGTGGACTCAGTAGGGGAGGAGAAGGACCAGTGGAGTTGGAGGCCAAGAACCTGCTGAAGGAGCGGAACGTAGTACGGCCGTGGCCGCTCAGCACCTCCTGAACCAGCAGAGACAGCACCAGCACCCTCAGCCCCAGGGTCTCCAGCAGCACCTCCAGCAGCTCCACCAGCAGCTCCTGCGCCAGCAGCACCAGCACCAGCACCAGCTCCAGGGTCTGCAGCACCAGCAGCGGCTCCAGCTCCAGTACCTCCAGCTCCAACTCCCGCAGCAGCTCCAGTACCTCCTGTACGAGCACCTCCAGAGCCAGCGGCTCCAGCAGCTCCAGCACCAGCAGCACCTCCAGTAGCTCCAGCACCAGCAGCACCTGTAGCGTCTCCAGCAGCTCCAGCTCCAGCAGCACCTCCAACAGCACCACCAGCAGCTCCTGCACTAGCAGCACCAGCACCAGCACCAGCTCCAGGGTCCGCGGCACCAGCCGCGGCTCCAGCTCCAGGGTCCTCAGCACCAGCAGCAGCTCCAACTCCAGGGTCGGCAGCACCAGCAGCACCACTCCGGAGACTGCAGCGCCGAGCGTACCACTCTCGGAGCCGCTGGGGAGAGAGCGCACCAGTAGCGCCTCCAGCAGCTCCAGCACCAGGAGAGTCTCCAGCAGCTCAACCTCCAGCAGCACCTCCAGCAGCACCACTAGCAGCTCCTGCGCCAGCAGCACCAGCACCAGCACCAGCTCCAGCTCCAGGGTCCGCGGCACCAGCAGCGGCTCCAGCTCCAGGGTCCTCAGCACCAGCAGCAGCTCCAACTCCAGGGTCGGCTGCACCAGTAGCACCACTCCGGAGACTGCAGCGCCGAGCGTACCACTCTCGGAGCCGCTGGGGAGAGGGCAGCCCCCGCCTAGGCGGGGAACCACGAGCACCAGCTCCAGCAGCACCCCTAGCCCCGGAAGCGCCCCTCCTAAAGCTGCAGTGCCTCAGTAGGCGCAGTACCAGAGGGCGCAGACTCACGAGTACCTAGAGCAGCAGCCTCACCAGCACCTGGGGCAACATACACACTAGCACCTAGAGCGGCAGCCTCACCAGCACCTGAGGCAACCGACACACAAGCACCTAGTGCGGCAGCCTCACCAGTACCTAGAGCAGCAGACTGGATACCGGGGTCAGGCGGCACACACAGGTGACAGGCTCCCTCGGCACTAGTAGACAATGCATACATTGCAGTGAGAATAGCATCTTAGGCAAGAGCAAAGATATCTACCCTCTGTCCAAGCAGCTCCACCCAGTCGGGGAGCTCAGCGTTGTCGCCAAACTCTGTACACCAAGCGTCACTCAGACGGGCGAAGCAGTGGGACTCTGTGTGACCACGCGTCCCGCAAGGCTGACCAGTCCAGGCACCCGTGCTAATAACGTACGGGCAGCGAGCAGTACTCAGCGACCCTCTACTCTGAGCGTACCACTCACGAAACTGCTGGGGCGAAAGTGGGTCGCGCGGACGACACTGCTGCTGCACCGGGCCACTACAAGAAGTTCCCGAACTACCCACTCCAGGACGACTCCCACTACGGCCACCCCGACAACCCCAACTGGCGTACCACTCACGAAGCTGCTGGGGCGTGAGGGACACACGCGGACGGCCGTGGAGCTGCATCTAGCCACGCCAGGAGCAGCAGTAGCAGCAGTAGCGGCAGTAACAGCAGTAGCAGCAGGAGCAGTAAAAGCAGTAGCAGCAGTAGCAGCGGTAGCAGCACGGGCAGGGCAGTGCTCACCAGTGGTGGGAAGGGCAGGCGTAAGGCGGCGGCGACAGCGGGGCCGCTACAGTGCGGGGTCGGGCCGCGACGGCAGCTGCTCCAGGGGCCAGGGGCGGCTCCTGCAGTGGCGGCTGCTCCAGGGTCCAGGGGCGGCTGTAGGTGCGGCTGCTTCAGGGGCCACGGGCGGCTGCTGCAGTGGCGGCTGCTCCACGGGCCAGGGGCGGCTGCTGCAGTGGCGGCTCGGCTGGGGCGACTCGACGGGCTAGGGCAGCCCGCAAGGGTTGGTAGGGCGGCGCGGCTCGGTAGGGCGGCGCGGCTCGGTAAGGCGGCGCGGCTCGGTAGGGCGGCGCGGCTCGGGCCGGGCGACTCGGTTCGGTGGGGCGGCTCGGCTCGGCTAGGCGGCGGCTACTCGAGGTGGGGCACGCGAGGGCGTGCAGGGCAGAGCGGGGCCGGTCCGCGCAGGGCACGAAATGGCGGGCTAGCGGGGCGGGGCCTGGTCGCACGGGGCACGCAAGGGCGAGCTAGCGGGGCGGGGCCTGGTCGCACGGGGCACGCAAGGGCGGGCTAGCGGGGCGGGGCCGGTACGCGAGGGGCACGCAAGGGCGCGCGGGTCGGTGTGGGCCGGTCGCTCGGGGCACGCAAGGGCGCGCGGGTAGGCGGGGCCGGTTCGTAAGGAGCGCGCACGGGCGCGTGGGGCAGCTAGCGCTCGGGGCCGCACGAGGCACGCAAGGGCGCGTGCGGGGCAAGCTACGCGCGTGGGGCTGCACGGGTCGCACGCGAGGGCGTGTGAGGAAGGCGGGGCCGGTCGCATGGGGCACGCTAGGGCGTGCGGGCTAGGCGGGGCCGATCGCGAGAGGCACGCTAGGGCGCGCGATAGTGAGGGAGAGAGGAGGGCGCTCGAGGGCGCGACTTGGCGAGGCGCGCTAGGGCGCGACTATGCGAAAACGGTGGGCCCTATCGTTCGGTCCTAGGTTACGACCTAGGCTCGTAATACCATGTCAGAATCTAAGAGAGAATGAGAATGATTGACTAGCAGGAGAATGGGAGTACAAGTACTACAAACCTAGAGTAGTGTACCCCCTAGAAGGCTAACCCACTATAGCCTACACAAATAGAACAAGTATATGTTTGACAGGTTCTTTAGATGGTAGGTACACAGTCAGTTGTGATCATGGTCAGCTCCACAGTTGCAGAGACTCCCTCGAGTACGACTTCAATTGCGTCTGGGTTAAGCGCCTTTTCTCGCGCAAATGTGAGGTTTTCCGTGTGTTGATGATGAAGCTTAACCAGATTGCCGTTCAGCAGGTGATACACCACCTCTTTTCTTTTGACATGTTCCGCGTCAGCTTCCGAGATGAACAAAATCTGCAGAGGGCAGTAATGGGTCTTGGGCGATGTATGCTGACTGCAGCTCCCGGAACTTCACCGTCGTCAGCAGATATTCTGATAACTCTGTGTACCAACCACGTTTCATTAGGATTTTTAATCGCTTCAATGACACAACTTACTGTGCAAGGATAAAAGGCAGCATCAAGACGACTATGGTACGCAGCCGGTGAGCAGCTTCCAGGTCAAGATCAACCAACATCTCGTCGTCTAAGTCGTCGTTGATGAAACCGTCATCATCGGTCGGAGTCATTGACGATGTTGCCTTGTCATTCACGGATAACACGAATCCTCCAGGTGACGCCGTTGGTGAGCGCGTAGATCAATAGGCGAGTTGGTGACGCCATTGGCGAGCACGCAAGCAGGAAGCCTAGAGAGCTGACCCTTAGGATGATCCATCGTGCAATAATGAGTTCCAGGCAAGCCACAGCGAGTGGCTGATGAAGCTTGTACTGCCTGAAGTCTGAGCACAGCCTTGTTAAGTATCTGGTTGTTTTTATCATTCCCAAGACACTCCTGGAGTTGGTGAGAGTGCTCGAGGAAGAAACCTTGGGAGGACCTTGTGGAATATTCGAAATAAATGCATTGTTGCGTGTCGTTGCTAATTAAACTATTGTGGGATCTTGATATTTTATAACAAGGAACCTTGATAATGGCTGACAAGCACCAGAGTTAGTCGTCGCGTAACAAGAAGAGCCACAAGAAAAGCCGATATCAGCAGATATGACAGGTTTTCTCTTGATGATTTTTCCAATTGTTATCGCGTCTTACTGGCTATCATCATAACGTCAGTAGTCCAATGGTTAGGATATTTGCCTTCCAAGCAAAAGATCCGGGTTCGATTCCCGGCTGACGTATAGAGAGTGTGCATGTCCAGCATGGGAAAACCGAATAACAGTCACAATGAACGTTTTGCAGCATCTGTGGGTCTAGGGCGTGTTCCTACGCCTTGTATCAGGCAAACCCTTAGGCAGAGTGATTTGTAGAAGTTGAAATGTCAACCTCAAAAGCGGTGTCATGCAAATCTCCTCAAACTAGGTTTAGTTGGCGTCAGATAAAATGTCTTGAGATGCTTGGTTGCCTCGTTAATTGCCTGTATTACTATATTAGCCCAGTATAAGAACACACAAAGCACACCAATATCCACGCACGTGTTTGCTTGCACATGGCAGCCACAGAAGGCTGGTGATGAAGCCTTCTCCTCACCATGTCACCTTGCCCTCCGCACTTTCCTTCCTCTCTTCTGCCTCGGAATCAGCCTTTTCAGCCGCTTCTCCCTCTGAGATCCCATCACCGACCACTCCCTCATCACGCTCAACCTCACTACTCCGTCGCCCACCCTCCCCACCGCCCTTGTCACCCGGCCCCTCCACGCCCTCAGCAATCGACGCCACTCCGGGTTTCCTCGCGGGGCGTCTCAGCCGGCCCTGCTCGTCGCGGAACCCGCCTCCCTGCGGGCGGCGCATGCCGCCTGAGATCACGAACGGCGTCATCGGTGCGCCGTCCTCGGGCGATTCCGGCGCTCCGCCGCCCATGCCGCCCACCGCATCCCCTCCGATCTGCAGCGACGGCTTGAACGGCCGGCGCGGCCCTGCCGCCCCGAGGGCAGATGCAGGGGGAGGTGCGTTGAGGGTGGAGGAGGCGCTGCCCACGGGGGCAATGACGACGGTGGCGGGGAAGGTGGCGCCTGGGGCAGGTGCTGCTGTGGCCGCCGCAGGTGCCGTGGCGGTGGGCGGCGAGGCAGGGGAGATGCGTGGCACGCGGAGCACGGAGGGGTGGGAGATGGAGAGGGCGGGGCGCGGGGCGGCACGGATGTCAGCGAGCAGGGCGTCGAGCTCCACCCCGCGCACCCTCAGTGCGTTCAGTCGTGCCGTGTCCTCGCTGGGGGGCCAGGCGGAGAGGGGAATGGCAGAAGGGGGAAGTGAGAGAGGCAGCGGTTGGTGTATGAGTGGTGAGGGTGGGGCGGCTTGTAGCCCTCATAACAGGTGTGAGGGCGTTGCTGTGGAGGTGACGAGAGGTATATTCACTGAAAGAAGGAAAGTAGGGGAGATGGTGAAAGGGGAGATGGGAGGCGAGACGTGGGGACAAGAGTGATGACAAGAGTGGGGACAAGAGTGGGGACAAGAGTGGGGACAAGAGTGGGGACAAGAGTGGGGACAAGAGTGGGGACAAGAGTGGGGACAAGAGTGGGGACAAGAGTGGCGACAAGAGTGGGGACAAGAGTGGTGACAAGAGTGGGGACAAGAGTGGGGACAAGAGTGGGGACAAGAGTGGGGACAAGAGTGGGGACAAGAGTGGGGACAAGAGTGGGGACAAGAGTGGGGACAAGAGTGGGGACAAGAGTGGGGACAAGAGTGGGGACAAGAGTGGCGACAAGAGTGGGGACAAGAGTGGGGACAAGAGTGGTGACAAGAGTGGTGACAAGAGTGGACGGGAGGTGAGATGTGGAGGAGGAGTAGGATGAATCTCAGAGCAATGAACCTTAGAGAAGGACCCATTAAAGTCCAAACGAGCAGGTATGAAGCTTTGGCATGGTGAGATACGAAGAAAGTGCGAGAGGCATGGCAGGGGGTGAAGGGAGGGTGGGCGTACGGGGAGGGCGAGGCGAGGGAGTCCATCCAGGCGCGCACGTCCTTGAGGGCCAGCTCCGCCTCCCCCATGCACCGCTTCACCTGCCCACCGCATAGCGGGCGTGGCGCACACACGTGAGGGGCGATGAGAGGCGATGGCAGGCCATGGCAGGCGCACAGGAGCAGAGGGGGCCTTGGGGGGATGGAGGCTTCCCCACGGAGGGGAGGGTGGGAAGTTGCATGATGAGAGGCAAGGCGTGAGTGCATGCCGGCCAACACACACGTGCTGCTCAAGGGACACGCATGGCTGCTGTGCTGCCCGCCCACATCCCAATGTGCCCCACCGACCCTGCTACACCACTTTGCAACCCCCCCAACCCCACCAAACCCTGTCGCACTCATCAACATAGAATGCCTGCCATGGCACGGCCCGCCCACCTGGATGTGAGCAGCAATGAAGCGCTCCTCCCAGTGCAGGCGGCGCAGCGAGATGTCTGCCACCACCGCGTCCATGCTGTCCACCACCATGCCCGCCCTGCCATGTGCCGCCCGTGCCACAGGGGAGAGGAACAGATGACCGGATCAGCTGCATCTGTGCCCTCGCACCCGCCACTCTCACACGCCACCCACCACTCGCACCTCACATGACCGTTTCGCACCACTTGTGTTGATCGGGTGTTCCAGGCTTTTCAAAGCTCCGGCTTGATGCGGGCTGGCCCTCATCAGCGCGTTGCGTGTGAGTGTGTTTCAGGAGATATACAAGCTGTTTCCTTTCTCATACTTCGCGGAACCCTAAAACCACCAAACTCGATAATAATGGTAAGAACAGTAGGTTCGGCTGGGGTTTGCCCGGGCCGGCCCGGGTTGTGACAGGCCGGCCCTGTGAGTGATGGCAGCAGCAGCAGCAGCAGCATGGCAGCATGGCACATGGCGCGCTCACCTCTTCTCATGGATGCCCTCCAGCATGCCCACCACTGCCTTGGCCTTGGCCCAGAACGACTCCAGCTGGGCCTACCAGTGGCCACCGCACATGGGGGCGGGCATGATTGGCTTGACAAGGGGCCACAAACGGAACGAGGGAGTGGGGTCGGAAAGCAAGACGCGGAGATGCGGTGTGGAGAAAAAGCGTGCAATTTCGGCCACTGATGTGTGGCACCACGTACTATCCCACAGCCACCCACATGAGCAGCTACCACTTGAGCAGCCGCCCACCTGAGAGGCGCCGACCTGAGAGGCGCCCACCTGACAGAGGTGCAGATGCGATGTGGCAGCGGCAAAGAGTCGGTCCCTGCGAGCTGCCGCCTCCTCCCTGTGGGCGTGCAACCATTCATTTGGGGGGGGGAGTGCGCAGGAGCAGTGCATATGGGGGGTCACATGTAACTTGCATGTGGGCGAGGCAAATGGCACTGTGGATCACTCAACACACTCCCTCCATCACCCTTGCTTCACACTCGCTCCATGACCCTTGCTTCACACTCCCTCCATGACCCTTGCTTGACACTCGCTCCATGACCCTTGCTTGACACTCGCTCCATGACCCTTGCTTGACACTCGCTCCATGACCCTTGCTTGACACTCGCTCCATGACCCTTGCTTGACACTCGCTCCATGACCCTTGCTTGACACTCGCTCCATGACCCTTGCTTGACACTCGCTCCATGACCCTTGCTTGACACTCGCTCCATGACCCTTGCTTGACACTCGCTCCATGACCCTTGCTTGACACTCGCTCCATGACCCTTGCTTGACACTCGCTCCATGACCCTTGCTTGACACTCGCTCCATGACCCTTGCTTGACACTCGCTCCATGACCCTTGCTTGACACTCGCTCCATGACCCTTGCTTGACACTCGCTCCATGACCCTTGCTTGACACTCGCTCCATGACCCTTGCTTGACACTCGCTCCATGACCCTTGCTTGACACTCGCTCCATGACCCTTGCTTCACACTCCCTGCATGACCCTTGCTTCACACTCCCTGCATCCATGCACCCAGCAGGGCACGCACTTGAGGCGTTTCTCCTGTGCCTCCAGGGCGGTGGACTGCAGCTGCCATGTGCGCTGCAGGAACTTCCTCCACTCCTCCAGCGCCCTCCCGTCTCCCTCATGCTCCTCCATTGATGCCTTCAGCCGCGCCTCCTGCCATGCCATCATGCCATGCCATGCCATGCCATGGCACCCCGCAGCCCGCCGCACCGCATGGGGTGGACGGCAGAGAGGAGATGACGAGAAATGATAAATGATAGGCGGGGCAAGGGAGACCAGCGACAATAGAAGAGGGACGAACAAACTGAGACGACCAACGAGGGACGAACAAACTGAGACGACCAACGAGGGACGAACAAACTGAGACGACCAACGAGGGACGAACAAACTGAGACGACCAACGAGGGACGAACAAACTGAGACGACCAACGAGGGACGAACAAACTGAGACGACCAACGAGGGACGAACAAACTGAGACGACCAACGAGGGACGAACAAACTGAGACGACCAACGAGGGATGAATGACGACAAGTGGGTGCAAGGTGGTTGCCACTGCCGTGATTCCGTGTGCTATGAGAAGGTATTGCATTACCTGTGATGTGAGGTGGTTATACATTTACCCGCGGCTATAAATGAGCATCGAATTGAACCTTGTTTCGATTCGATCAAACAGGTTCGACACTGTGTCGAGCTGAACTTTTCGACCGAACATTTACTGTTCGCTCAAGGTGCAACGAACCGTTTGTGTTGAACGCATGGGGGGTCTGACATACAATGTCCTGCACGCGCGTCGCGCATATGACCCAGAATCTGGTCGTTCAAACCAGTTTTGAGGTTGGGTGGCTCCCACTTCTCTCACACCATTTTCAAGAGTCGCTCTGCCTTTCAACGCGCCCTTAGCTTAGAGACTAGCCGCCGCCAACCATGGGCTCCATGTTGTTTTGCTTGCACGTGTTCAGACGATGCACTTGAGCTTGTCCTGCTAGCGCTCACATTTTGCATACTCCCACACCCAGCACTATAACAATGTCGGTTACTCGAACCAAGCTCCAACAGGTTCGGGTTGAACACCCATCACTTCGACCGAACCTTCCACACCTTGAGTATCTTTGGCCGAACCTCGAACATCAAGTGACCTAAAAAGCTCCGCCTGGAACAGAAGGGTTCGTCAGGGATTAAACCGAATTCGTTCGACTTCGGTTTGTCGTGCTCATGTGACGTCTAACCTGCCCGCACTGTTAGGTGGTTACCGCGTTACCTGCGCTGCAAGGTGGGTGACGATGCTGGTGCTGGCCATGCTGAACTGCTCCTTCTCCTCGCGCACCTTGCCTTGCTTCTTGCTCAAACTGTCTATCGCACTCTGCACCTGTTGTTGGTGATAGGAGGCAACAGCAACAGGCGGTAGCAGCGAGGTGCAGCGAGGGATGATGATGAGGTGTCATGGGATCTAGGACGCAAGTGGCAACGGGAGCAGCAGAAGAGGATGCCCGAGTCTCCTGGCATTGTGTTCACATGTGTGATGCAAGCAATCCCATTCCCTGCTTCACCAATGCACCACTCTGCACCCGTCCCCAGCTGTACCTTTGTGTTATTTCCCCCACTGCCCCTCACCTTGCTCAGCTCCTCCTCACCTTGCTCAGCTCCTCCTCACCTTGCTCAACTCCTCCTCAAGTTCCGCCTTCCTGGCCTGCAGAGCAGCCATTTCCCGGTCCACCACCTGCCACACGCCCACACAGGCACACAGGGGGAGCACAAAGCATGCTTTTGGGCTCATGAGCGGGTGAAACATGGGGGGCATGGGGAGGCGTGGCAGGGGGTGAAACGCGAGGCACGGAGGGTGAAAGGCAAGGAGAGTGAGAGGCAGGGAGAGGAGTGAGGAGGGTGGAAGGCACAAGGGCACATGAGAAACGGGCTGATGGGGCTGCGCTCCGAGCATGAAGCTTGGAGCTCAGGGAGTGGGGAGGTGACGGAGTGGGGGGGCCATATGGAGTGGGGGGCCCATATGGAGTGGGGGGGCCATATGGAGTGGGGGGCCCATATGGAGTGGGGGGCCCATATGGAGTGGGGGGCCCATATGGAGTGGGGGGCCCATATGGAGTGGGGGGCCCATATGGAGTGGGGGGCCCATATGGAGTGGGGGGCCCATATGGAGTGGGGGGCCCATATGGAGTGGGGGGCCCATATGGAGTGGGGGGCCCATATGGAGTGGGGGGCCCATAAGGAGTGGGGCGTCCATAAGGAGTGGGGCGTCCATAAGGAGTGGGGGCCCTCACGGAGTGGGAGTCAGCAGCCTCGTGGGCCTTGGCGGTGCGGTAGGCGAGGGCGTCCGCCTTCTGCTGGCTGCACTCCGCCATCTGTGCCCTCAGCGCCACCACCCCCTCGCCCACCTCCGCTGCCAGTGATGTCACCCGCTCCACCTGCCATGCCGTGCCATGCCATGCCAGGCCATGGCATCAGTGGGGGGGGAAGGGGGGGGGTGTTTGAGATGCGTCAAGACATTGGACGGCCCCTTTATCTCTCCACCCTTATCAACTTACCACAACTTACCTCATCTCTGCACCCGTAACCTCCCTCCCTGTGCTTCATTTCGTAGTCTCTTTGCGCTGGTGGGTCATGTTTGTGCTGATGGGCCTTTCTCAGCCGGAGTCTCTTTTGCTCCGCCTCCTCACTCTGCAACCCCTTTCTTGCTCCACTAAGTGCCTTGTGAGCATCTTGGAATAGTCTCTCGACTTTAACTTTCGACTGGATTGTTCTACTTTCTTTGCTCGCCCAGCCCCCACAGCATGCGCTGCCCACCTTGAGAGCACGGTCGCCCGGCGTGTCTCCCTGCTGCAGCAGCGCCTCTCTACGCCTCTCCAGCGCCACCAGGCGCAGAGCGGCACGAAGCACCTCGCGGCTGCGCGCAGCCTGCACCTCCTGCTGCTGCACCGCCAGCACCTCGTCCACTGCCCTCTCCGCCTCCTCCACCCGCCCCAACGCCGCCTCCCCCTCTGCCCTCTCCGCCTCCCCCACCCCTCCCTCGCCCTCTGCCTGCTCTGCCCCTTCCTCCCCCACCTCCTCACCCTTTCCTTTCCCCTCCACACCACCGCCCTTGCCCCGGTCACCATCATCCTCCGCGGCGTGCAGGGCGGAGGAGGCGTGCACAGCAGCCAGCCCCTGCGCCACGGCGTGCTCCAGGCGCCGTGCCTCTTGGTCCAGGCGCTCCGCCTCGGGGCTCACCTTGAGCCCCGTCATCGCCTCCGCCACAAACCGCTCCAACTCGTCGCCTGCTGCATGCGCGCGCGCACAGCAAGGGGGGGGAGAGGAGGCTTGGCGCAGGGGAAGGTTTTCGAGGTCGGTGGGAGAGGCAAAGGACAGGAGGCCATTGCAGCGTTGCCTGGTTTGAAGGTGAGCGGGTGGGTGGTTGAGGCAGTAGAAGCAGGGAGAGGGCTCTGCACAATGCAATGCCATGGCCGCATGCAGAGTAGCGGAGCGGAGCGGAGGGGGAGGGAGGGGAGCGGAGGGGAAGGGAGCGGAGGGGAACGGGAGGGGAGGGGAGGGGAAGGGAGGGGAGGGGAGGGGAAGGGAGGGGAAGGGAGGGGAGGGGAGGGGAAGGGAGGGGAAGGGAGGGGAGGGGAAGGGAGGGGAGGGGAGGGGAAGGGAGGGGAAGGGAAGGGAGGGGAGGGGAAGGGAGGGGAATGGAGGGGAGGGGAAGGGAGGGGAAGGGAGGGGAGGGGAAGGGAGGGGAAGGGAGGGGAGGGGAGGGGAAGGGAGGGGAAGGGAGGGGAAGGGAGGGGAAGGGAGGGGAGGGGAGGGGAGGGGAGGGCGGTGACCTTGACTTCAGAGTAGGACTGGGCGGAGTTGGCGAGTGAGTGCAGCGTGGCGAGCAGCGCGTCCTGGTCCTCGTGGCCCAGCGACAGACACAGCCTGGCCGCCCAGCATGGCGTGGGAGGGGGGGGAGGGAAAATGGATGTAGTAGAAAGGAGGAGTGAGCAGGAATATTTTGAGGCGTACGTGATGCAAGGCGTACGTGATGCAAGGCGTACGTGATGCAAGGCGTACGTGATGCAAGGCGTACGTGATGCAAGGCGTGAGCGATGCAAGGCGTGAGCGATGCAAGGGAAGGGGTGTGGAAGCACGCAAGGGAACGTGCGAGGGTGGGAGAAGAGAAGGGAGAGGAAGGGTAAGGAAGGATAGGTCTCACAGGAGACGAGGGACAAGGAGGTGAGCTGGTGGGTCCTTGAGAACAATGGTGTGCACTCCATCCACCGCACGCAGTGCATGCCTCTTGGTTACTCGGAATCAATCAACAACGCACTCCACTGAATTGCACCGAACGAGCAACACACAATCGCTAGTTAATGCCCGGAGCACGGCGTGCAGCGGAAGGAGAGAGGAGGAGAGAGAGCGGAGGAAGGAGGGCAGAGAAAGGAGGAAAGGGGATGGAGGATTGAGGAGCGAGGGAGGGCACCTGAAGAGGTTTCTGAGCAGCCAGAACTCCTCGTCATCCCCCGGGTCCATCACCTGCCATGCATGGCGGCACATGGGGGCATGGGGGCACACATGGACATGCGTAGCGTGGATGATGGCACGGTGGTGCACACGCACATGAACCACTCCATCTGCACCGCATTCAACGGATTGGGCTCAAGGCAGTGGGCGAGCGACGTCCGGCCAAGTGCAGTTGGGCGGCCACGCGTGCACTGCGCTTCAGTGGGGTGGGACGTGATCGATGCCTCCAGTGGGGCGGGACGTGATCGATGCCTCCAGTGGGGCGGGACGTGATCGATGCCTCCAGTGGGGCGGGACGTGATCGATGCCTCCAGTGGGGCGGGACGTGATCGATGCCTCCAGTGGGGCGGGACGTGATCGATGCCTCCAGTGGGGCGGGACGTGATCGATGCCTCCAGTGGGGCGGGACGTGATCGATGCCTCCAGTGGGGCGGGACGTGATCGATGCCTCCAGTGGGGCGGGACGTGATCGATGCCTCCAGTGGGGCGGGACGTGATCGATGCCTCCAGTGGGGCGGGACGTGATCGATGCCTCCAGTGGGGCGGGACGTGATCGATGCCTCCAGTGGGGCGGGACGTGATCGATGCCTCCAGTGGGGCGGGACGTGATCGATGCCTCCAGTGGGGCGGGACGTGATCGATGCCTCCAGTGGGGCGGGACGTGATCGATGCCCCACACCCCGCCACTGGGACCACCGTTTGCAACTTCCCTCCCACTCCTTTCCTAGAGGCCCTCCACCTCTCTACCCCTTCCCTTTTGCATGCTGGAGTATCCAGCATGCAAAAGCGTGATTCTTATTACTTACACTTCATTAGCGAGTGCTGCTGTGAAGCACACTTTCGGTGCCAACTGCGTGATTCTTATTGCATGGTTGAACCTCAAGGTCTGAACCGCTTCTGGTCCGAATGTCAAAGCGGGGACAAGCACAGAAAGACTTGAGTTGACTCGCACTCACCAGCGACGCCACCATGTTCTCCAGCGCCTGGCTGTGCAGAAAGACTTGAGTTGACTCGCACTCACCAGCGACGCCACCATGTTCTCCAGCGCCTGGCTGTGCAGAAAGACTTGAGTTGACTCGCACTCACCAGCGACGCCACCATGTTCTCCAGCGCCTGGCTGTGCAGAAAGACTTGAGTTGACTCGCACTCACCAGCGACGCCACCATGTTCTCCAGCGCCTGGCTGTGCAGAAAGACGTCGCGGAAGGTGAGCGGCTGGTGCGGCGCGTTGGGGTCGTGGAATAGCACCTGGGGGCAGGGGGAGGGAGAGAAGGGGGGGGATGGCAGGGGGGACAGGCAGGAGGGGGAAGGCAGGGGGGATGCGGGGAAGGGAGGAAGTCGATGGCACGTTGCATGTGTGGATGGCGTGTGAGCGTGCTGTTTGCTTGCTGTGGCACTGCATAGAAGGGCAATGGAGATGCACTGGGAGCATGTGTCAGCGCACTCACCCGTGACACCTTGCCATGCGAGGGTGCTAGGGGGGGAGCAGGGAGGTGCCGCGGAGAGGCTGAAGGCGGAGCCACGCCCTCCCTCACGCCGCTGCCACTCGTGCCCTCGCTCTCGCCCGCACCCTCACCACCACCCTCCGCGCCCTCCCCTGCCTGCCCTCCGTCCCCATCTGCCCCCACCGCCCGCTGCCCCGCTGCCTCCTCCGTCCCGCCCTCCCCTGAGTCATTCTTCCCGCCACCCCCACCACCATCGTTCCCCCCTCCCCCCGCCGCGCTTCCCCCCAGCGCGAGCCCCATGCCCAGCTGCTGCAGCGCCGCCAGCTCCTTCTCTCCGCGCTCCGCTTGCTCCCGCTCCGCGCTGATGTGCAGTGCCTCAGTAGGCGCAGTACCAGAGGGCGCAGACTCTCGAGTACCTAGAGCAGCAGCCTCACCAGCACCTGGGGCAACAGACACACTAGCACCTAGAGCGGCAGCCTCACCAGCACCTGAGGCAACCGACACACGAGCACCTAGTGCGGCAGCCTCACCAGTACCTAGAGCAGCAGACTGGATACCGGGGTCAGGCGGCACACACAGGTGACAGGCTCCCTCGGCACTAGTAGACAATGCATACATTGCAGTGAGAATAGCATCATAGGCAAGAGCAAAGATATCTACCCTCTGTCCAAGCAGCTCCACCCAGTCGGGGAGCTCAGCGTCGTCGCCAAACTCTGTACACCAAGCGTCACTCAGACGGGCGAAGCAGTGGGACTCTGTGTGACCACGCGTCCCGCAAGGCTGACCAGTCCAGGCACCCGTGCTAATAACGTACGGGCAGCGAGCAGTACTCAGCGACCCTCTACTCTGAGCGTACCACTCACGAAACTGCTGGGGCGAAAGTGGGTCGCGCGGACGACACTGCTGCTGCACCGGGCCACTACAAGAAGTTCCCGAACTACCCACTCCAGGACGACTCCCACTACGGCCACCCCGACAACCCCAACTGGCGTACCACTCACGAAGCTGCTGGGGCGTGAGGGACACACGCGGACGGCTGTGGAGCTGCATCTGGCCACGCCAGGAGCAGCAGTAGCAGCAGTAGCGGCAGTAACAGCAGTAGCAGCAGGAGCAGTAAAAGCAGTAGCAGCAGTAGCAGCGGTAGCAGCGCGGGCAGGGCAGTGCTCACCAGTGGTGGGAAGGGCAGGCGTAAGGCGGCGGCGACAGCGGGGCCGCTACAGTGCGGGGTCGGGCCGCGACGGCAGCTGCTCCAGGGGCCAGGGGCGGCTCCTGCAGTGGCGGCTGCTCCAGGGTCCAGGGGCGGCTGTAGGTGCGGCTGCTCCAGGGGCCACGGGCGGCTGCTGCAGTGGCGGCTGCTCCAGGGGCCAGGGGCGGCTGCTGCAGTGGCGGCTCGGCTGGGGCGACTCGACGGGCTAGGGCAGCCCGCAAGGGTTGGTAGGGCGGCGCGGCTCGGTAGGGCGGCGCGGCTCGGTAAGGCGGCGCGGCTCGGTAGGGCGGCGCGGCTCGGGCCGGGCGACTCGGTTCGGTGGGGCGGCTCGGCTCGGCTAGGCGGCGGCTACTCGAGGTGGGGCACGCGAGGGCGTGCAGGGCAGAGCGGGGCCGGTCCGCGCAGGGCACGAAATGGCGGGCTAGCGGGGCGGGGCCTGGTCGCACGGGGCACGCAAGGGCGAGCTAGCGGGGCGGGGCCTGGTCGCACGGGGCACGCAAGGGCGGGCTAGCGGGGCGGGGCCGGTACGCGAGGGGCACGCAAGGGCGCGTGGGTCGGTGTGGGCCGGTCGCTCGGGGCACGCAAGGGCGCGCGGGTAGGCGGGGCCGGTTCGTAAGGAGCGCGCACGGGCGCGTGGGGCAGCTAGCGCTCGGGGCCGCACGAGGCACGCAAGGGCGCGTGCGGGGCAAGCTACGCGCGTGGGGCTGCACGGGTCGCACGCGAGGGCGTGTGAGGAAGGCGGGGCCGGTCGCATGGGGCACGCTAGGGCGTGCGGGCTAGGCGGGGCCGATCACGAGAGGCACGCTAGGGCGCGCGATAGTGAGGGAGAGAGGAGGGCGCTCGAGGGCGCGACTTGGCGAGGCGCGCTAGGGCGCGACTATGCGAAAACGGTGGGCCCTATCGTTCGGTCCTAGGTTACGACCTAGGCTCGTAATACCATGTCAGAATCTAAGAGAGAATGAGAATGATTGACTAGCAGGAGAATGGGAGTACAAGTACTACAAACCTAGAGTAGTGTACCCCCTAGAAGGCTAACCCACTATAGCCTACACAAATAGAACAAGTATATGTTTGACAGGTTCTTTAGATGGTAGGTACACAGTCAGTTGTGATCATGGTCAGCTCCACAGTTGCAGAGACTCCCTCGAGTACGACTTCAATTGCGTCTGGGTTAAGCGCCTTTTCTCGCGCAAATGTGAGGTTTTCCGTGTGTTGATGATGAAGCTTAACCAGATTGCCGTTCAGCAGGTGATACACCACCTCTTTTCTTTTGACATGTTCCGCGTCAGCTTCCGAGATGAACAAAATCTGCAGAGGGCAGTAATGGGTCTTGGGCGATGTATGCTGACTGCAGCTCCCGGAACTTCACCGTCGTCAGCAGATATTCTGATAACTCTGTGTACCAACCACGTTTCATTAGGATTTTTAATCGCTTCAATGACACAACTTACTGTGCAAGGATAAAAGGCAGCATCAAGACGACTATGGTACGCAGCCGGTGAGCAGCTTCCAGGTCAAGATCAACCAACATCTCGTCGTCTAAGTCGTCGTTGATGAAACCGTCATCATCGGTCGGAGTCATTGACGATGTTGCCTTGTCATTCACGGATAACACGAATCCTCCAGGTGACGCCGTTGGTGAGCGCGTAGATCAATAGGCGAGTTGGTGACGCCATTGGCGAGCACGCAAGCAGGAAGCCTAGAGAGCTGACCCTTAGGATGATCCATCGTGCAATAATGAGTTCCAGGCAAGCCACAGCGAGTGGCTGATGAAGCTTGTACTGCCTGAAGTCTGAGCACAGCCTTGTTAAGTATCTGGTTGTTTTTATCATTCCCAAGACACTCCTGGAGTTGGTGAGAGTGCTCGAGGAAGAAACCTTGGGAGGACCTTGTGGAATATTCGAAATAAATGCATTGTTGCGTGTCGTTGCTAATTAAACTATTGTGGGATCTTGATATTTTATAACAAGGAACCTTGATAATGGCTGACAAGCACCAGAGTTAGTCGTCGCGTAACAAGAAGAGCCACAAGAAAAGCCGATATCAGCAGATATGACAGGTTTTCTCTTGATGATTTTTCCAATTGTTATCGCGTCTTACTGGCTATCATCATAACGTCAGTAGTCCAATGGTTAGGATATTTGCCTTCCAAGCAAAAGATCCGGGTTCGATTCCCGGCTGACGTACAGAGAGTGTGCATGTCCAGCATGGGAAAACCGAATAACAGTCACAATGAACGTTTTGCAGCATCTGTGGGTCTAGGGCGTGTTCCTACGCCTTGTATCAGGCAAACCCTTAGGCAGAGTGATTTGTAGAAGTTGAAATGTCAACCTCAAAAGCGGTGTCATGCAAATCTCCTCAAACTAGGTTTAGTTGGCGTCAGATAAAATGTCTTGAGATGCTTGGTTGCCTCGTTAATTGCCTGTATTACTATATTAGCCCAGTATAAGAACACACAAAGCACACCAATATCCACGCACGTGTTTGCTTGCACATGGCAGCCACAGAAGGCTGGTGATGAAGCCTTCTCCTCACCATGTCACCTTGCCCTCCGCACTTTCCTTCCTCTCTTCTGCCTCGGAATCAGCCTTTTCAGCCGCTTCTCCCTCTGAGATCCCATCACCGACCACTCCCTCATCACGCTCAACCTCACTACTCCGTCGCCCACCCTCCCCACCGCCCTTGTCACCCGGCCCCTCCACGCCCTCAGCAATCGACGCCACTCCGGGTTTCCTCGCGGGGCGTCTCAGCCGGCCCTGCTCGTCGCGGAACCCGCCTCCCTGCGGGCGGCGCATGCCGCCTGAGATCACGAACGGCGTCATCGGTGCGCCGTCCTCGGGCGATTCCGGCGCTCCGCCGCCCATGCCGCCCACCGCATCCCCTCCGATCTGCAGCGACGGCTTGAACGGCCGGCGCGGCCCTGCCGCCCCGAGGGCAGATGCAGGGGGAGGTGCGTTGAGGGTGGAGGAGGCGCTGCCCACGGGGGCAATGACGACGGTGGCGGGGAAGGTGGCGCCTGGGGCAGGTGCTGCTGTGGCCGCCGCAGGTGCCGTGGCGGTGGGCGGCGAGGCAGGGGAGATGCGTGGCACGCGGAGCACGGAGGGGTGGGAGATGGAGAGGGCGGGGCGCGGGGCGGCACGGATGTCAGCGAGCAGGGCGTCGAGCTCCACCCCGCGCACCCTCAGTGCGTTCAGTCGTGCCGTGTCCTCGCTGGGGGGCCAGGCGGAGAGGGGAATGGCAGAAGGGGGAAGTGAGAGAGGCAGCGGTTGGTGTATGAGTGGTGAGGGTGGGGCGGCTTGTAGCCCTCATAACAGGTGTGAGGGCGTTGCTGTGGAGGTGACGAGAGGTATATTCACTGAAAGAAGGAAAGTAGGGGAGATGGTGAAAGGGGAGATGGGAGGCGAGACGTGGGGACAAGAGTGATGACAAGAGTGGGGACAAGAGTGGGGACAAGAGTGGGGACAAGAGTGGGGACAAGAGTGGGGACAAGAGTGGGGACAAGAGTGGGGACAAGAGTGGGGACAAGAGTGGCGACAAGAGTGGGGACAAGAGTGGGGACAAGAGTGGGGACAAGAGTGGGGACAAGAGTGGGGACAAGAGTGGGGACAAGAGTGGGGACAAGAGTGGGGACAAGAGTGGGGACAAGAGTGGGGACAAGAGTGGGGACAAGAGTGGGGACAAGAGTGGGGACAAGAGTGGGGACAAGAGTGGCGACAAGAGTGGGGACAAGAGTGGGGACAAGAGTGGTGACAAGAGTGGTGACAAGAGTGGACGGGAGGTGAGATGTGGAGGAGGAGTAGGATGAATCTCAGAGCAATGAACCTTAGAGAAGGACCCATTAAAGTCCAAACGAGCAGGTATGAAGCTTTGGCATGGTGAGATACGAAGCAAGTGCGAGAGGCATGGCAGGGGGTGAAGGGGGGGTGGGCGTACGGGGAGGGCGAGGCGAGGGAGTCCATCCAGGCGCGCACGTCCTTGAGGGCCAGCTCCGCCTCCCCCATGCACCGCTTCACCTGCCCACCGCATAGCGGGCGTGGCGCACACACGTGAGGGGCGATGAGAGGCGATGGCAGGCCATGGCAGGCGCACAGGAGCAGAGGGGGCCTTGGGGGGATGGAGGCTTCCCCACGGAGGGGAGGGTGGGAAGTTGCATGATGAGAGGCAAGGCGTGAGTGCATGCCGGCCAACACACACGTGCTGCTCAAGGGACACGCATGGCTGCTGTGCTGCCCGCCCACATCCCAATGTGCCCCACCGACCCTGCTACACCACTTTGCAACCCCCCCAACCCCACCAAACCCTGTCGCACTCATCAACATAGAATGCCTGCCATGGCACGGCCCGCCCACCTGGATGTGAGCAGCAATGAAGCGCTCCTCCCAGTGCAGGCGGCGCAGCGAGATGTCTGCCACCACCGCGTCCATGCCGTCCACCACCATGCCCGCCCTGCCATGTGCCGCCCGTGCCACAGGGGAGAGGAACAGATGACCGGATCAGCTGCATCTGTGCCCTCGCACCCGCCACTCTCACACGCCACCCACCACTCGCACCTCACATGACCGTTTCGCACCACTTGTGTTGATCGGGTGTTCCAGGCTTTTCAAAGCTCCGGCTTGATGCGGGCTGGCCCATCAGCGCGTTGCGTGTGAGTGTGTTTCAGGAGATATACAAGCTGTTTCCTTTCTCATACTTCGCGGAACCCTAAAACCACCAAACTCGATAATAATGGTAAGAACAGTAGGTTCGGCTGGGGTTTGCCCGGGCCGGCCCGGGTTGTGACAGGCCGGCCCTGTGAGTGATGGCAGCAGCAGCAGCAGCAGCATGGCAGCATGGCACATGGCGCGCTCACCTCTTCTCATGGATGCCCTCCAGCGTGCCCACCACTGCCTTGGCCTTGGCCCAGAACGACTCCAGCTGGGCCTGCCAGTGGCCACCGCACATGGGGGCGGGCATGATTGGCTTGACAAGGGGCCACAAACGGAACGAGGGAGTGGGGTCGGAAAGCAAGACGCGGAGATGCGGTGTGGAGAAAAAGCGTGCAATTTCGGCCACTGATGTGTGGCACCACGTACTATCCCACAGCCACCCACATGAGCAGCTACCACTTGAGCAGCCGCCCACCTGAGAGGCGCCGACCTGAGAGGCGCCCACCTGACAGAGGTGCAGATGCGATGTGGCAGCGGCAAAGAGTCGGTCCCTGCAAGCTGCCGCCTCCTCCCTGTGGGCGTGCAACCATTCATTTGGGGGGGGGAGTGCGCAGGAGCAGTGCATATGGGGGGTCACATGTAACTTGCATGTGGGCGAGGCAAATGGCACTGTGGATCACTCAACACACTCCCTCCATCACCCTTGCTTCACACTCGCTCCATGACCCTTGCTTCACACTCCCTCCATGACCCTTGCTTGACACTCCCTCCATGACCCTTGCTTGACACTCGCTCCATGACCCTTGCTTGACACTCGCTCCATGACCCTTGCTTGACACTCGCTCCATGACCCTTGCTTGACACTCGCTCCATGACCCTTGCTTGACACTCGCTCCATGACCCTTGCTTGACACTCGCTCCATGACCCTTGCTTGACACTCGCTCCATGACCCTTGCTTAACACTCGCTCCATGACCCTTGCTTGACACTCGCTCCATGACCCTTGCTTGACACTCGCTCCATGACCCTTGCTTGACACTCGCTCCATGACCCTTGCTTGACACTCGCTCCATGACCCTTGCTTGACACTCGCTCCATGACCCTTGCTTGACACTCGCTCCATGACCCTTGCTTGACACTCGCTCCATGACCCTTGCTTCACACTCCCTGCATGACCCTTGCTTCACACTCCCTGCATCCATGCACCCAGCAGGGCACGCACTTGAGGCGTTTCTCCTGTGCCTCCAGGGCGGTGGACTGCAGCTGCCATGTGCGCTGCAGGAACTTCCTCCACTCCTCCAGCGCCCTCCCGTCTCCCTCATGCTCCTCCATTGATGCCTTCAGCCGCGCCTCCTGCCATGCCATCATGCCATGCCATGCCATGCCATGGCACCCCGCAGCCCGCCGCACCGCATGGGGTGGACGGCAGAGAGGAGATGACGAGAAATGATAAATGATAGGCGGGGCAAGGGAGACCAGCGACAATAGAAGAGGGACGAACAAACTGAGACGACCAACGAGGGACGAACAAACTGAGACGACCAACGAGGGACGAACAAACTGAGACGACCAACGAGGGACGAACAAACTGAGACGACCAACGAGGGACGAACAAACTGAGACGACCAACGAGGGACGAACAAACTGAGACGACCAACGAGGGACGAACAAACTGAGACGACCAACGAGGGACGAACAAACTGAGACGACCAACGAGGGATGAATGACGACAAGTGGGTGCAAGGTGGTTGCCACTGCCGTGATTCCGTGTGCTATGAGAAGGTATTGCATTACCTGTGATGTGAGGTGGTTATACATTTACCCGCGGCTATAAATGAGCATCAAATTGAACCTTGTTTCGATTCGATCAAACAGGTTCGACACTGTGTCGAGCTGAACTTTTCGACCGAACATTTACTGTTCGCTCAAGGTGCAACGAACCGTTTGTGTTGAACGCATGGGGGGTCTGACATACAATGTCCTGCACGCGCGTCGCGCATATGACCCAGAATCTGGTCGTTCAAACCAGTTTTGAGGTTGGGTGGCTCCCACTTCTCTCACACCATTTTCAAGAGTCGCTCTGCCTTTCAACGCGCCCTTAGCTTAGAGACTAGCCGCCGCCAACCATGGGCTCCATGTTGTTTTGCTTGCACGTGTTCAGACGATGCACTTGAGCTTGTCCTGCTAGCGCTCACATTTTGCATACTCCCACACCCAGCACTATAACAATGTCGGTTACTCGAACCAAGCTCCAACAGGTTCGGGTTGAACACCCATCACTTCGACCGAACCTTCCACACCTTGAGTATCTTTGGCCGAACCTCGAACATCAAGTGACCTAAAAAGCTCCGCCTGGAACAGAAGGGTTCGTCAGGGATTAAACCGAATTCGTTCGACTTCGGTTTGTCGTGCTCATGTGACGTCTAACCTGCCCGCACTGTTAGGTGGTTACCGCGTTACCTGCGCTGCAAGGTGGGTGACGATGCTGGTGCTGGCCATGCTGAACTGCTCCTTCTCCTCGCGCACCTTGCCTTGCTTCTTGCTCAAACTGTCTATCGCACTCTGCACCTGTTGTTGGTGATAGGAGGCAACAGCAACAGGCGGTAGCAGCGAGGTGCAGCGAGGGATGATGATGAGGTGTCATGGGATCTAGGACGCAAGTGGCAACGGGAGCAGCAGAAGAGGATGCCCGAGTCTCCTGGCATTGTGTTCACATGTGTGATGCAAGCAATCCCATTCCCTGCTTCACCAATGCACCACTCTGCACCCGTCCCCAGCTGTACCTTTGTGTTATTTCCCCCACTGCCCCTCACCTTGCTCAGCTCCTCCTCACCTTGCTCAGCTCCTCCTCACCTTGCTCAACTCCTCCTCAAGTTCCGCCTTCCTGGCCTGCAGAGCAGCCATTTCCCGGTCCACCACCTGCCACACGCCCACACAGGCACACAGGGGGAGCACAAAGCATGCTTTTGGGCTCATGAGCGGGTGAAACATGGGGGGCATGGGGAGGCGTGGCAGGGGGTGAAACGCGAGGCACGGAGGGTGAAAGGCAAGGAGAGTGAGAGGCAGGGAGAGGAGTGAGGAGGGTGGAAGGCACAAGGGCACATGAGAAACGGGCTGATGGGGCTGCGCTCCGAGCATGAAGCTTGGAGCTCAGGGAGTGGGGAGGTGACGGAGTGGGGGGGCCATATGGAGTGGGGGGCCCATATGGAGTGGGGGGGCCATATGGAGTGGGGGGCCCATATGGAGTGGGGGGCCCATATGGAGTGGGGGGCCCATATGGAGTGGGGGGCCCATATGGAGTGGGGGGCCCATATGGAGTGGGGGGCCCATATGGAGTGGGGGGCCCATATGGAGTGGGGGGCCCATATGGAGTGGGGGGCCCATATGGAGTGGGGGGCCCATATGGAGTGGGGGGCCCATAAGGAGTGGGGCGTCCATAAGGAGTGGGGCGTCCATAAGGAGTGGGGGCCCTCACGGAGTGGGAGTCAGCAGCCTCGTGGGCCTTGGCGGTGCGGTAGGCGAGGGCGTCCGCCTTCTGCTGGCTGCACTCCGCCATCTGTGCCC